ATTCATAACTTATGAAACGTAATTAAAAGTAATCAAATCATATTACAAACATAAACATAGTTTCGAATCACCCCCTAGCTAAAGGGGGTTTAGTTCCTCATAACTTTGAAATCAAAGAAACACCTAAACATTCCAACAACTCAAAACTTGAATTGTATGAACGTTTAAGCACTCTTTTCTTCCATTTCTCATACGTACAAAACAAAGAGAATTAAAATGAAACTTTGAAATCAAAGAAACACCTAAACATTCCAACAACTCAAAACTTGAATTGTATGAACGTTTAGGCACTCTTCTCTTCCTCGTTGTTGTAGCACAAGGTTTAAGGATAGGTTGGTTGGGGGGATGGAAGTGTTGGGGAATTATGGAAATGGATGAGGATTGGTGGAAATGGAAGATGGTTTTTGGATTCTAAGGAAGAGAAACTCACGGCTAGGGAAGTGTTTGTGGTGTGTTGTGTTGTGAATGAGATGATTCGAATGAATGGGAATGCAAGGGTATTTATAGGAGGAGTGGAGGGAACATATGGATGTTTGTTTAAGCATTTGTGTGAAGGAATGATGAAGAATTGCATGTGGAATTAAAGAATGAGTGGTGGTGTAATGATGAAGTGAATGCATGTGGAATTAAAGAGGGAGAATGTGGTGAAATGATGAAGTAGGAAGGTGGAAATGCATGTGAGATGTTGGAAAGGAAATGGGAATATGAGTAGGCCATGGCATGGGAGTTGTTTTGTTGGTGTAAATGTGCCATGGTTGCAATGATGAAGAATAAAGGGTGCATGTGGGGTGGAATTGAATGAATGCAAAGTGAATGAATAATGAAATGAGTTAAAGAGGGAGAATGTGGTGAAATGATGAAGTAGGAAGGTGGAAATGCATGTGACTTGTTTGTGGAATAAAGAATGAATGGTGGAATGATGAAGAGTTGCATAAAGAATGCATGTAGGGTTAGCTAGGTTGGCTTTGTTTGGGTGCATGTGTGTTAATGGTGGTTTTGCATGTGAATTGATGGATTGTTTTTGATGGAATGGATGGTTCTTTGCATGGCTTTTGAAGTGATTGTGGGCTTTGGAATTGGAAGGAAATGCATGGCCTTGGGGTTGGTTTAAGAGAGAATGGGCTAGGCCCTTTGTTTTATGTCCAAAATGAATACAAGGCCTTCAAATTCGTCCAACACTTTGGCTCCAATCATATGCTATCCATTCCAAGCCCAATTTTGCTCCAAAATGCTCCAAAATGCATCTTTTTGCTTCCTTAGCCATATGAAACTAAAAACACACGAAAATGGCTTAAACTACTAAAACAACTATGAATTAACAACATAGATGCACGAAAACAAGCTAAGTAAGTCGCCTAAATATGCTCCTATCACCACCCCACATGCACCCTTTATTCTTCATCATTGCAACCATGGCACATTTACACCAACAAAACAACTCCCATGCCATGGCCTACTCATATTCCCATTTCCTTTCCAACATCTCACATGCATTTCCACCTTCCTACTTCATCATTTCACCACATTTTCCCTTTTATTTCCACATGCAATTCTTCATCATTGCAACCACAAACACCTTAAACAAATAGCCATATACATCTCCACTCCTCCTATAAATACCCTTGTATTCATTCATTCAAAAATCATCTCATTCACAACACAACACAACACCACAAACACATCCACCTTCCTTAGCCGTGAGTCTCCCTTAGAATCCAAAAACCATCTTCCATTTCCACCACTCCTCATCCATTTCCATAATTTCCCAACACTTCCATCCCCCCAACCAACTATCCCTAGACCTTATGCTACAATAAAGAGGAAGATAAGAGGGCCTAAACGTTCATACAATTCAAGATTGAGTTGTTGGAATGTTTAGGCGTTTCTTTGATTTCAATGTTTAATTTCAATTCTCTTTGTTTTGTACGTATGAGGAACTAAACCCCCTTTAGCTAGGGGGTGATTCGAAACTATGTTTATGTTTGTAATATGATTTGATTACTTTTAATTACGTTTCATAAGTTGTGAATTCAATTTGTTTAACTGTTTGATTGATAACCTATTTATGTATGTTTATTAAGAATGAACGCTTAATTTTCATGCATGAATTTGACGCTAGAATATAAGTGAGTTTCACGTAATAGTTATGAACTTATATTCACAAGTAGTGGAGGTTGCTTATAAACAATCGTGTTAAACATATTCTTGGCATAAGTTTCATGCAATCATAGTAACGAATGCCTCGTCAACACTTATAGTTTTCATGATGCTTAATGATTCTTGCTTGTATCTCTATTATGCAATTCATGTAGGGAACTTGTGAGGAATGCTTTGGATTGTCGTATACAATCATCCAATTCATTAACTTAAGGAAAACTTGACGGTTAATTTAAGCGGACCTAATTAACCCGGGGCGTTGAGAATTCATGGTTTATTGAAAAGCAATTAGACATCGTTTTGTATGCAAGTATAACATATGTGGAGATGAACCCCTTAGCTAGCTTCCCATCCATTCATTTCCGTCAAATCCATATTTACAATTTGTTTTATTTCCAAGTTTCCATTTTTAGTTTAAATTCGTCCAAATCCAATCCCCCTTTACTTTATTGTTCAATTTAGTTAGAAATCAATTTAGTTTGTGTTTTTAAAGCATTTTGAGTCTTTTGGTTTGTCTTAGTGTTTTAACGTTTAGTTTCACATTCTTTGAGTCTAGTTTAGTGTTTTATCTTGTTTTTACGTTTTTGAGTCAGTTTCCAAGGTTTTAGCAATCCCTCCTAATCCCCGGTCCAGAACGATCCCTACTTATACTTATACTACAATTGACAAAAAGAGGGTTTAATTTGTGTGCGTATAAATCTCGCATCAGCTACCCAGAATGCTTCCTCTTACGCCTCGAGTTGGTTGATGGAAATTGAAAATGCATGAATTTTGCTATTGTTCTCCTCCCACTTTAATTGGAGGGCCCCTAAATGGTAGTTCAGCATTTCTATCTCATTCTTCCTGGCTTTGAATTTGTTTGAGCTCCACCTTATGAGTCGTCTTCTCGTGGTGTGCAACTTCCTTCGCCATCGTTCCACCCATCCTCTGCCACATCTCACTTTCCAGCTCCGTGTTGATTATAAATAGGCAATGATCTGACGCCCTGGCATTGTCATCAAAGACCGAGGTATTAAGCCATCGAGATTGCCATTCCCCATTAACCATACCACAGTCCAACCGTTCCTGCACAAGATTCCCGTTTTGAGTTCCCCTCCATGTGAATTTAGGTCCTGAGAACCTAAGATCCACAAGTTCCATACAATTTGGGCCCCCCATTTTTAGCATCTGAAAAGATTTCATTTAGATCCCCTACACTTAACCATAGAGCATCCGTCGGAAGTAGCTCATTCGACATCCATTGCCAAAAATCTTGCTTCTCGGCACTGTAGGGCGTTTCGTATATCCAGGAAGTATGAAACCAAGCCTCGTCCCTAACCAATCGCATCTTAGTATGTATCAAATTTTTGTTGGAAGACACAACCTTGACCTCCAGGCTATCGTCTCACCATAGACTTAATCCTCTCGCTGACCTGATTAGAGGTATATAACAGCCATTCAAATATCCCATCCGCCCACACACACACAATTTATTTTATGATTTTTCATTTTAGTTTCAGATAGAAAAATCATAGAGGGTCTGTACCTTCTAATGAGCCTATGTAAGGCTCGAACTACCGTGTTCGACCTAAGATGAGGCCATAAGTTTTCCTCTTGATAAGGCCATAAGTTTTCCTCTTGAACCGGAACATCTAACAGATTATCCTTCGACAGGAAACCCCTATCACTCCCTTGGATTCCATCGTCCCCCTTATGCACTTGAGAACTTCCTCTGCACCCCCCTCTCCTAGTCCGACCAAGGGAGCCTAGTTATTTTTTTGGTCTTTTATATGGCCGTTGGGCTCTACTGATACTTCTTTCACTCGTGTTTCTCTTCAGGCCCAACTTTTGGAAAAAACCTTCTCCCTCATCTTAGTCCAAACTAATGCTTCTAGGGTGTGTACTGATCATCTTGTGTTGCATCGTTAGTGTGTTCTGGTTAAACACTAGCTCCCTTTGCCCTTGCTGATCTCCGTCATCTGAAGCCTCGTAGCGTGGCATGGGCCTACTTGAGCTAGCAGCCTTTGTATTGTCCTTCAGCACATCCCCTAGTCAGTCATTCGTTATTCTAACACCAGAGCTCAATGGGCTGAATATCTTTCTAGCCTTCTCCTCTTGGACAGTTCTTCCCCTTCTTAAATTCACATACCCTTCAGGATTGAGCCCATTAAGCCCACTAGTGGATTCATGAAAAGTGGCAGTGGATATACCCGTAATCTCCATTGCAGGGTGGTGTATAATCTTCATGTTATGAGCACCAACCATTCCACTTTGGTCCAGTAGTGGTCTCAACCTCGCATTGTCAACCATCATGTCGTCGTATTCTCTTGTAGGGGTATCACTTTGTCTCGTGTGGATTGGAATCTTTCTCTCCTTACTTGCACCCGGCTGTCTCCTCACCCCCTGGTTAGAAATTATCAGCTTAGGAACATCCGGAAATTCTCTAACCATTTTGGTCATGGTCCATTCACCATAGCACGTCGCATATCCTCTACCAGTTGGTGAAGAACACTCATTGCTATAATGGACAATTCTTCCACACTTATGACAAATGTCCTATAGACATTCATACTAGAACTCCACCCAGGATTTGGTTACCCAACATTCGGTGGTCAGAGGTTTAGTGGTATTGACCATCATTCTGACCCTTAGGAAACCCCTAGCTCGTGCCAGATCATTCAGCTCCACGAGCTCACCACATTTGCTAGCAAGCTGGTTGATATTCTCCTCGGAACATAAGTATGGTGGTACCTCCTTCATTTGAACCTAAAATAGAACCAAATGCATCAGGACCTCCATCATCGCAAAATCATCTCTCCAGCTTTTTAACATAGAGGTTTTGTTTCATCACATCTAGTATACAGGTTGCCATAGTCTCATCCCTTACCATAATAACGAAGGAGTTATCATGCACCCAGCTAATCTGAAGGTCCTTAAACTCTTTCCAGGCGCTCTTTAATATGTTTCTTACTCCCTATTTATTAAGTTGCTGATCCACCAACATTGTGGCAATGAGCTTAACTTTTTGTTCCATGTTCGAGAGCTTCATTCCCCCCTCAGCCGAACTACTAGATCATCTACTTCTGTCGCCATCTCTTCTTTTAATTTCTTTTTCTTTCCACGTTTCCTATGCAGACCAACTACCTGCCTTTTACCACTATCCAACAGATTGGAGTTGCTATATTCCTAACTTTTGCAGCAGTAGACAATGTAAAGATTCTGATTGTTTCTCAGGTTGGTAGGGACAGAGTAAATGCTCACCCTTTTTGAATCCACAATTACAACCCCAAAATCGAAATAAGACATAATCGCCCACTAGATCTGGAACCTAACCCAGTCTTCTACCCATTGACCTGATTTAGGTTGTTGGAAGCTCATAAATATTGTCATAACCACCATAGTTGCCAGAGGGACCACACTTTGAGAGTTAATCAAGCCTCATCAGCCCAAAGATGGAAGTCTCATCTATTAAGCCGTTAGTATCCAGGCCTCCGAGGTAGAAATGACTTCTTGACATCAGGGTGAGACAGGCCCCCTAGACCCCAGTAATAACTCTTTGGCTATTGGCAGATGACTAAGTAAGGAAATTACCTCAAATGAACCACGACTTAGTGAGATCTGAATGCCCAGGCAGGAAATTAGGGCAAATTAATAGGGGAATACGATACAATACTCAGGGACAGAGGGTTAATGGTGCCCAGATCGGTTGGAAAAATAACGATAGCAAAGTTAATAGGAGAATCTCACAGGGCAGGGAATGACTCACACGGGGTAGAGGAAGACTCTCAAGGAGAAGAAAAGGCTTTCACGAAGAAGAAAAGGTACTTTTACATTAATTCCTTTTTTTCCTTCTATTATGGGCTCCAATTTCTTATTGGGCACATACTATGTGGGTAGATAGTTTATACAATCTTTTTACGCTAGATTGTTTTTAACTTTCTTAAGGTAATGACATTTTTCCTAAGGCAATAAGGTTATTCTTCAATCCATTTCAACGATTAGAATTGCTTAATCATCATTTAAAGGTCATTTTTTGAAAATTATCTAGATTTAAAGTATTTGATCATCTAAAATGTGGAAATTTTAATTTATTAAATAAAAGCAAAAGGAAAATACGAACTATCGAAAGTTCTATTTGGTTCTTAGTAGCATATATCTTTTAAAGCAAAACAAAAAATGCACGTTGCAGACCACGGTTGGATTCTCGTTGGTAAGTCATTATTCATACACGTTCTTCACCTTTAGCGTCTTTGCCACATTACAACACAATCCCTTTCTTTTAGAACTTCGCTTTTAGGTTTAAGTTTAGTATTTACGTTGTAGTATGAATAATCATGTTAAATTATAAATATGAAAAGGAAATTTTTTTGACATGTCATATGAACTTCTGCACCTTTTTTTTAATTTCTCATATAAAGGATTTGTCACATCAACTTTTCACATATAAAGGATTTGTCATCTCGCCATAATTTTGTTAAGTTTTCCATCTAAAATAACTCATGGGCCATGCACATGACTTAGTTTCAATGTTATTTCGGTCTTTTTAACTCCCCACACACTTTCAAGATGATTTAGGACATTTCAACTCCTCTTTTTTTAGAATAGGTGGACCGCAATGATTTCTCAAAATTCGTAATTAGTTAAACTCCATGTAGTGAGCCTAATGTACTTTTTTAGTAGTTCACCATAAGTTTTTGAAGCGAACGCAACATGTTTTTTTAACTAGCCAAAATCTTTGGATCATACCAAAGAGAAGTAACTTGTAAAAAGGAGTTCAAATGTCAAAACCAATTAATTCCTCCACCTCGTAGTGTCAATGTATTCTTGTATTAAAATGAAAAAAAAATTGTGAAAATGAGGTTAAAATTCCAAAATAACCCTTAACACAGGTCATGTGCATTGCACGTTGTTGGAACCAAATTCGCACATTGTAGTGAGTGGTGGTTGTACACAAACTCAAGCAACTTGCAAAATAATAAACAACCGTAAGCAAGCCTTAGAACTAGGGGGAGGCGAGGTTGTGTCGGCCAAAGGCTTTCCAATGGTCAAGTTAGTGAATGAGTTTAGATTCAAGCAATGGGCAAGAGAATTCAAGTGTTTATATTGCATTACCAGAGATAAACCCTAGATGGCCGTATTTATACCATGGGAAAGAGACCTTTTTAGGATAGAATCCTAGAGGATATCTAAAAGTAATCATTGCATCCTCTTAGGAGTTGTGATTACTTGCGGTGGATTATGTCCATATTCAAATCAGATCATGTGTCTTGCAGAACTAGCATAGTCATCCAGCGTAAGACTCCGCTTATTGCCCCAAAACAAGGTGATGGTGGCACCGCTGCTCCATCTGATATAGCTCTGCACAAAGTTGGTGAGTCCATGACTGGACTTCTAAGGTAACTATATTTGGATTAGCCTTACCTTAGCCCTCAAAAATCATGGTCCCATAATTGCCCGTAACTATCCATCTGAGAGGTAATATGTTCCCCTTGAGAATGGATAGTTACCCAATGACCATGCATTTTGGAGTAAGCTAGAATACGTACCGTTTTAGTCTTCAATCTTTATGTGTACTGGCATGACTCTTGACATTTTGGGATAGTTAAGTCACTTCAATTTCTATCATGCATCCTCTAAAATTGTGCAAAAAATCAACCGCAATGTTGACAAATGTCTCCACCTTGCATGCATGCTTCTCACGCGTTTAATTTGATTGGCTTTGATTCTTGTACACGTTAATCTCTAGGTGACGACCCTCCGTTTTCAATGGTGAGATCTTTCAGTGATTTGTCTTTAAATAACCACTTTTCCTTTGAGATCTTCATAACCATTTTTGTTTCTACAACATGGAACTTTTGTGTTTTAACCAAAGCTTAATTTCCATACTCAGTTTTCTCCCTGATCTTTTGATGTCCAAGATCTGCAGATAAAAACTTCCTTTGTTCTCACCAATTTCTTCCAAACAATGCTAAGTAACACCCAATTTAGCCAAGTCTCATCTTAATCTCCCCTGCTTTTGGCGATTTGTTTTATACTCCCATCATAGCACTCTAGATGAAGGATTTGAATCTAATCCCAATCTCTTTGAGGGATTGAAATTCTTTCGGGGGCTCTTCATCACCGTTTTCTTCCTCTTCCGCAGCTTGTGGACAACGGCAGTGGTAGATCTCCATCAGAATACTGTCGTCCTCGAAACACAGCAAGATGGGCATAACACGCAATTGATTTGACAGTAGTACTTCGTCCAATCATCGACGAGTTATGTTTAATATGCAGCATTGTCTTCAAAATTTCCTTTTGCTAGGGGTGAAGGCTTGCCTCCCCCAAACCATTGTATCTATTTAGTCCCTTTCCGGGAATTTGATAATGAACTTGTGCTTGTATGATTCTTTACATGTCTTCATATTCATGAAAGATTCTTAAACTGATAAAAAATTTTAAGTAAATGAACCTCAAAAAATAAGTAAGCAACATAGCAAAATGCCAATAAGTTTGAGGGCTCGGGACAGAGCTCAAAAGCCCCCTTGGTCGTGTTGATTCGGAGAAACTTTACCTCCCAATCTTAGCATTCGTAAAGAATTTTCATCGCGATAGTCTAAGCACCACCTTACTACGCTCCGTGCTCACTAACATATTTATTGAATTGAAGAAGTACAATGCTTATATTTGGAATGACCTGCAATGAGTGAATTAGCAACAATTTTTTACTACCCCATCCTTTGGGGCAAGGATTTCAAAACTTGCAATGTAGTCTAGAAAGCGATTTTTCTTTCTAGACAAGATTACGCGTTTATTTACAGTGAATCTTAAACAAAACAATTTTGGAAACTTGGTCGTCAGTATGTGGGTCGGAAATACTTTTTGAATCCTTTTGTTGCACCCTGTGTGTCGAACTTGAGTGTTTTCAATCAGACCGCGTTGGCTGGCTTGCCCAAATAATTTCTGCATATCAGAGCTTTGTCGGAATAAAATTCCTTTGAGGATTACCTAGCCTAGATGCCCATTTCGATGTTGCAAAACATACTTGACTTTGTATGTTGGTCTGGGATAAAAGTAGTTGTACTCAGGGTCGGAGTTCAGAGCCTACTTCAGATGATTTCCAAAACGCCATTTCGACTATTCCCTCAAATGGTGTAAAGCCTAGGTTCAAATGTTATAACCCACAACTTTGGTATTTGTATAAACTTTACGAAGGCCGAAAGGTGCATTGGACTTCCGGGTCAAGGTGTTATGTCTCCGTGCCTATAGTTGGCCAATCGTTACCGTGCTTATTATGGTTCAAGTCTCTTAAGCTATTAACCTTTCAAGACGGGCTCGGCTACGAGAGACTCCTTTGATAGTGTTGATTTGAATTTTTAGAATTGCGTTTATACGAAGCTTTCAAAGTTTATATGGGTACCATTTCCCATAAGTGACTAGTCATTTATGACCCAGTTTCACCATAAGCTTATTTTGATGGATTGGTTTTTAGCCGTTTAGATTTCATCCAATGGCCCACATTTGGTTCGCACACCCGGTCCGCACCTATGAAAACGCGATACAGAATGATGTTGGCAATATGAAGCTTGAACCAAATAAAAAAGCCATTAGTCTTGACTTGAGAGACATGAATTGGGGATATTAAGAGCATCTTCAGTAATACTAGGTTAAATTTGTATTATTTTAGCAATTCAAATATTAATTTGGCCAACCACCACTTTCACCAATACTGGCTATTTTAGCTTAGTTAAAAAAAAAAAAAAAAATTCCTCAAACTTGACAATCCAAACCCTTTTCCCTTATGTTCGAGTTTCGTTTTTCTGCATTTTTTTGTTAAAGTAGCCAAAAAACCTCATTTTATTAAGTCGTTGGAAATGCTTTATCGTGGAGGTGGTGTGTCTCAAAATTGATTATGTATCTTCACTAGGTTTAGCGCCATAAAACCTATCATACGCTGTCATTATGAGAGATGAATGCAAGAATACAAGTGTATTTATGTCATTTTGTTACCAACTTGTCAAACTCATGTTTGCACAACCCGCGACGTATTTTAATCTTTCCAGTTGCATGGCATAATTGAGGCAAGAGGTGGCACTGTAAATTGCACAGATGATGAAGGCAGAGTTGAATTGGGAGGGATGGCCACCGGCCATTGTTAACAGTGTGAGGTTGGGGTTCCTTAATTAAAAGGCAATCGACAATGACAAATACTATTAGAAACTCTGAACTCATGATTGAATTCACACAACGCATAGAACAGAGGGAGAAAGGCAGCAATAAAACCAATAGCAATTTTTTTTTCTAGAAAAAAAAAAAAAAAAAAAAAAAAAAAGGACTCCTTCTTCCTGAGGTAAGGGGAAACAGGCCTGTGAAAGAGTAAGGGACACACCAAAACCTCCCACACCATTAAATCAATTTCAAAGGACAATTTCAAACCCCTAACTCCGCCCCCTTTGAAATTATTGAGTTTACAGAAAAAACGGATGAGCCTCCTTTTTTTTATCCATTCATTGTACTTTATGTGGTCAGATTTCATTGGGTACTGTTTGTTTTTAATTTTAAATAAAAATTAAACGGATGAGCCTCCTCTTTTTATCCGTTCATTGTACTTTGTGAGGCCAGATTTCGTTGGGTATTATTTGTGTTTAATTTTAAATAAAAGTTTTAAAATAATTTATAACCGCACGATTTACTATGAACGGGTAATATATAAGGATTGCTAAGATCTTCACAAAGAGGATCCAGATAAGATCCAAATCCCATAAAAACCCAAGGGAAAAAAAAGATGTACAAACAAAACTCTCTTTCTCCTCTACTGGTTACTTGAAATTTTGGTGGAACTGCATTTTGGGTCGGTAGTGTCTCTGATGAATGAGAAAGTCTCACACAGTTTAACAAGAAAAGCCACAAGCAAAAGCTGGCTCAAGTTCCCAACTATCCATAGAAGCTGCCTAATTGCAATTGAAGGATTTTTGCTTCTCTCACTAATGTTTGAACCCAACTCTCTCTCTTTTTCTCTCTCTATAATTGGTTAGAGAGGATGCCAAGATTAGAGCCAAGACAGTATGAATGTGTGAGAAGAGCTTGGCATTGTTGAAATAGTATCAGGCATGTAGTTGATAGGTTTACTAACAATAAAGATCAAAGCTTTGTGACAGAAAACAATGGTGAGAGATGAACATAGAGAGAGAGAGAGAGAAAGAGAGAGAGAGAGAGAGAGAGAGAGAAAGAGGGAGAGGTTCTAATAATTCTGATTGAAATTGAAGATACGGAAATTACAAGGTTATAACCCTAACTTGGTTCATTGCTCAGATCCTACATTTCAGGGAGTATGGACACATCTCCAGCCATTTCAGGCCATCATGGCTATAATCCTTCCAGTTATGAGAGGATCAAAAGACACATTACAACACTAACAGATAAGAGCAATAGTTGTGCTGTTTACTAAAAATAAAAGGAATAAACTAACTGTTACAACTTAATCTCTAACGGCTATTACTAAAATTAGTAAGTTCTTCAGTGGTCTTCGATTTCATCATTCTCTTCAATTACATTTGCAAGATAGTCATTTGCAATGTTGATTTCAAGCTGGTATACAACTTAAATCTCAACAGCCTTTTCTAAGCTGTTTACTGGCTTCACTCCAAGCTTCAATCTCAGATAATTAAATCTTTCTTTTGGTAAGGCTTTTGTAAAAATGTCTGCAAGCTATCCTTCACTTCTGCAATACTTCACATCAATTGCACCTTCCTGTAATGCTTCCCTTGTGAAGTGGTATTTCCTGTTGATGTGTCTTGTCTTTTTATGGAACACAGGGTTCTTTACCATAGATATAGCAGACATATTGTCACAAAACAATGGAGTTGCATCAAGTTGCATCTCACCAAAGCCATTAAGAACAAATCTTAGTTAAATAACTTAAGTTATGTCTTCTGCTGATGAGACATATTCAGCTTCAGCAGTTGATAATGCAACAGTGTTTTGTTTCATAGAGGCCCGTGAGAACATTCCACTTCCAAAGCTAAATGTATACCCTAAAGTACTCATACTGTCATCTTCACTTTCTCCCCAATCTGAGTCACAAAATCCAATTAGAATTGAATCTTTGTTCCTTGTAAATTCAATGTCATAATTGAGAGTTCCTTATATGTGTCTCAGGACTCTTTTTACTACTCCCATGTGTTTCTTTGTGGGACCATTCATAAATCTAGATAGCAAACTTGCAACAAACATTATATCTGGCCTAGTTGCTGTCAAATATAGTAGGTTGCCAACTATCATTCTAGATAGAGCTTCATCAGCTAGCTCACTTCCATCAATCTTCTTTAGTTTTTCTCTAATGGGCAAGGGAATTGACACAGGCCTGCAAACTTCATCTCCAAACTTGACAAGAAGAGACCATTGCATACTTGCTTTGGTGAATAAACACCCCTTTATCAGATTGTAGTACTTTCATCCCCAAGAAATGGTGAAGGAGTCCTAGGTCTGACATATCATATCTCTATATCATTTCCTTCTTGAACTCACTGAGTAACACATCTCTATTGCCAGTACAGACAATATCATCAACATAGATTTAGACTATGATTATTTTTCATTCTTCATCATTTCTGGTGTATTTGCTTCACTAGCACTTCTCTTGAAGTTGCAGTTAATGAGATAAGTGTCAATTTCATAGTACCAAGCTCTAGGAGCTTGGTTTAGATCATATAGGGCATTCTTTAGTTTATAAACTTTGTGTCTTATATTCCTAACTTCGAAACCTTCTGGTTGTTCTGTGTAGACTTCATCCTCAAGCACCTCTTTGAGAAAGGCTGATTTCACATCAAGCTGCAGTAACTTCCAACCTTTTTGTGCTATTAGTGCAATGAGAGTCCTAATTGTATTGAACCTTGCCACAGCGGCAAAGGTTTTATTATAGTCAATTCAGCTTTCTATGTATATCTTTTTGCCACAAGCTTAGCTTTGTGTTTTTGAACAGTTCCATCAAAGTTCAACTTGGTTTTGAACACCCAGTTAACCCCCAATAACAGGTTTATTTGGAAGTCTCTCTACTAATTCCTATGTAGCATTCTTCTCAATCATTTCAATCTCAGCACTCGTTGCATCTTGCCAAGCCTTGTCTTCTGCAGCTTCATGATAATTCTTAAGTTCAATGATACATATGTGGCACCTTACATATATATCTTCCTAACTTTTTAACTTCATAGGAGTTAAACTTGGGGTTGATTTTTGACTCTATGTTCCTAGATCACTCACTGATATGCTAAATGACTTGGGCTTGTTTGAGTGTCTTGAGCAGCATCAAAATGAATTACTTCTTGTGATCTTTCTTAAGTTTCACGTTCTACATTCTCAGTTTCTATACTGAAAAATATTGAGATGGTCTCAATTTGCTTGCTATCCC